GGCTGGCGCCGGGCCGGGGGAGACCCGCGCGGCCGCGGAGCGGAGCCCCGGTTTGCGATCCCGGGGGCGCGGAGGCGAAAGCGGCGCTTTGTGCGCGGCTTCGAGTGGCGGCGGCTCCTACCAGATGTTTGCAGCGGCGGCGTTTCGGGGCTGGGAACCGGCTGTAAAAGTCCCGGGTGAAAACTAAAGAGGCGAGCGCSCAGCTCCCGAGGCACCCGGAGCTGCCTGGGACGGGTCCCCGGAAAAGCCCCCGAGGAGCAGCTCGCAGCCTCGCTGGTTTCGCGCTCAGCCCTGCCCCGCAGCCCCCCTGGCTCCCCGGGCAGCGGGACTGCCGCGGCTACGACACCGTTCGTGGGACCCGTGTCAGAGCGCAGGAGCTCCCAAAGCTGGCGAGCCGCTGCCAAAGCTTTCAGTGCTAGAATAGCAAAATTGAGGGAATGAAATATTAGGAAAAGCCACTTCAGCCGSTCGCCTGGGGGAAGCGGAGCCTGGCTGTTCTCGTGGTCTACTTCGCGTGCAGAAAGTGCCCGTGACAATCATTTGATGACAGAGAAAATAGCCAGGTTAGCCTCTCCACACAATTTCCCGAAGTTCCAAAAAGCGTGCTAAGCCCTTGGTGTGGAAAACCGAAAGCAATAATACAGGGTCCTCTGCAGCGCCCGGCCGGCCGGAGCTGCCGCACTGGTGCGCTGTCCAAGAACGACAAACAGTGATGGGAGAAGCATGAACATATTTACGTTGGCTATTATTACACCAAAACCACTCAACGTTTCTTCCACTGGTGCCTTCACTAGACTGAAACTCAAGCATGTTGCAGGACCAAAACCCGTGGCCGTAGGTCAAGTACCACACCAATGRGTGCCTTAGCGATGTAGAGGGTGAAGTCGCTTTAAGTGGTGATTTTAAGAGAGTCATTAATTGGCAGGGTGGTTTTTATTATTATTTACTCTCTGTAACTGCACTTGAACAGTGTTCTTGTCTTCCTATCAGATTGAATGTCGAGATTCACTTTCACCCTTCTCGTTTCAAAACGCGTTGAATTGTGTTCCTGTCAGCCTCGGCACCGCCTCCAGTCCACCCCGGAGAACAGCCCCGGGGCAAACACCCTGGTGTGACAGTCACCAAAGTGCCCTGTTAAAAGAATAGCCAACCAGCAGCTAAGGAATGCTGCGTTAAATGGAAAAAAACATTGATGCGGCTCTTCGCAGCTTTGTCTCCARTTGTCCGTAATGTTCCTTCCTCACAGCCCCGACCCCCTTCTTGTAGCTACGCAACAACAGCGCAGATAAATCCAATATTTGTCTGCTTTTAATAGTTATGATTGGCAGCACAATCCTCATTGATTTATGGATGTGTGCCTTTACTACGGTTTTGTTTGCAATGAACTTTAAGCATCCTTGTGATTTTACAATCACAGAATTGGTGCGATTTGTGCAGAAATTCATTTATATTGGTTGTGTATATACGTTCACGCTTTCCTAAGTTGAACTTTACTCAGGTAGTGTGTAGAGTGGGAAATGGAAGCTGTATCAGTTTTTTTATACAGCCTATAGTATAAGATAAATATGGGAAAATACAATGGAACTAAAACTTATCAAAAAAATCAAAGTGACTTCTCCAGCTCAACATAACAAAACAAAAAAAAAAAAAAAAAAAAAAAAAAAAAAGAAAACTTTTTCCTCTGGAATGTTCCTGGAAGATGTTTCATTGGCTGCAACCAAAAGCTGCTAAAAGTACAGCGTGTAGAAAACATTTGCATTTGTCACCAGAAACAATCTATGCATAA